TCTCCTATTACGTATACTTTTAATAAAACTTTATACAAAACGTATATATTGGGCACAGGTCAACGCTCTATAACAATGGACCAGCCGTGGGGGACTGTTATACCAGAACATTTATATATGATCATCCTTGATATGGAGGCTGTGTCTGGTGCATATAATCGCAACCCGCTTTATTTGGAAAACTGCGAGCTTAGTAAAGTATTAATATCACAGAATAGCACTAATATTGTCAATATTGGGTGTGACTTCCCTCATAACTGCGCCAAGTTGTATTACACAGCATTACAAGCCTTAGGCTTTGATAAAGACAATATATTATCTTATGACACATATGTGAATGGTGGAACCATACTGGCCTTTAATTTACAACCCGAGGATATCGATGACACCATACCGATTGAAAAAAGTGGTAATCTGAGGATCGCTTTGGAATTTAAACGCGGAGTAGCTAGAAATAAAGTCATTCTAGTTTACGGGTCTACAACAGGTGTGATCAGCATTAACGCGGATCGTCGCGTTATTTGCGATACGCGAGGATAAAATACTAATATGAATTGTTTGGAAATAAATGAGGCTATCAGAAGTAATTTAGGTGATAAGGTGGATTATCTAGGATGTTTCCTAACTGATGACGTACGGAAAATACTGACAAAAATACATAAAAAAAGACCTGTGGTGTTCATAATGAACACTCTGGGCTCGGGTTCTCGTAATAAAATGGGCCATTGGATAACATTCTATGTAAATAAGGATGAAGGTAGAAGCGAGATAGTTATACTAGACAGCTATGCCAATCCTGCAATAGGATCTTATTCAAGATATTTCGAAGAGTTTATGTCTTACTTCCAAGACTATACCCTATATATTATGAAGAAAAGGATTCAATCCTTGAATAGTTACTTCTGTGGGAATTACGCCGTTTATTTTGCATATCATTTTTGCAGACTAGGCTTAGAGGCCGCCCTGCTTCACTTTGATGAAGCGTTTAAATATGGTCATTTTCGCAAGAATGATGAAAAAGTGTTGAAATTCAATTACGCTCAGATGAAAATGCCTGTGTGTAAGCAAACATTCTGCTTAAACGGTAGTGATGCTGAGTGTGAAACGCTGTGTGACGAAGTTGGCTAGGATGATACTGCGGTGAGTAATACTTTATGTTAGGATTGAATGATGAACATAATAATGTCTGTATTTATGTTTACATCATTGTCAACAACAACAAAACTTATAACCTTTTCCCCTTTCTACAGATTGACTGATTGACTAGCGTGACGGGAAGGATCGTTGGAGTGGATGAATGACTCACAATTGGTCTGTCTACTACCTGATCCCGTTCTACAGATTGGTTGGTTGACTAGCGTGACGGGAAGGTTCGATGGACTGAATGAAAGCCTTTCTCCATCTGTCTGCTAGCTAAACCACCAAGAAGAAGTCTTATTATTATTATTATTATTATTATTATTATTATTATTATTATTATTATTATCGTTGTAAATCGCTTAAGTGTTTAATAAAGAAATAAATTTATATAATGTGTTTACTTTTCCCTCGTTATTGCTCTCACCATGTTGATCACGTTGCGATATAGCTTACACATACTAAAAGGTTTTGCACGGAACAATGGTTGATGGTATGGGAGCGGGTGGGGATGAGGGGTGGGAGTGATTGATGGTTGGCTGGTGCTGGACTGTCGTATGTACCTCGCCCCTCCTTACCGGAATCCACAGTGTATGGGGAGTCGCCGTGGGGCGAACATCACCACTCTGAAGACAACGAAAACCCTTTAGACAAATGGCCCCACTTCCGCTGGAGAGTGCTCTCTCATACCCTCCTCTCGCACTTTCGACTTCCTGTAGGGAAGCTCCTGGCCTTCCTCTCAGGTATGGGGGTTCTCCTCTCCCTCCCCAAACAAACATATACACTATGATGGATCCCCTCTCATCCTCTACTCACGATCATCATCACACAGGATTAAGTCTATGACAAACACACATACATATTCATTTACTCCTTCCTCATATTCCACTCTTATCCTTGTATTTTTCCTACTCTACCACATAGCACACATACTCTCCTACAACATGAACTCCCATCTTTCCTGACCACATACCCTATCCCCCGAGGACTAGACCCGCGCGCTCCAATTACCTCCGACACGCGCCAAAACTTCCGGGAAATTCCCCAAAACCCTTGAGGACGGAACCCCTGCGCACCACCTGTCGGGTGGCACTCACCTGAGTGACACCTGGCAGCTGGTGCGCGCGGTTCTAGTCCTCAACTTCACTACTGGGGAGGTGTTGGTGTAGGGGAGGTGTTTGTGTGGGGGAGGTGTTGGTGTGGGGGAGGTGTTGGTGTGGGGGAGGTGTTGGTGTGGGGGAGGTGTTGGTGTGGGGGAGGTGTGTTGGTGTGGAGGAGGTGTTGGTGTTGGGGGAGGTGTTGGTGTGGGGGAGGTGTTGGTGTAGGGGAGGTGTTTGTGTGGGGGAGGTGTTGGTGTGGGGGAGGTGTTGGTGTGGGGGAGGTGTTGGTGTAGGGGAGTGTGTGTGGTGTGGGGGAGGTGTTGGTGTGGGGGGTGTTGGTGTGGGGGAGGTGTTGTGGGGGAGGGTTGTGGGGAAAGTTTTGGTGTGGGGGAGGTGTTGGGGGAGGTGTGGGGGAGGTGTTGGTGTGGGGGAGGTGTTGGTGTGGAGGGAGCACGCAGGAGCCCCACCTGTACAATAACCTATTAGTGGGCGCCATCTTGCGGTCTCCAGCGCCTGATGGGACCAACGTTGTCATATAAAGAGCAACGGTCTAAATGTTCCTACTGAATGAGTAAGTGTTGAACGATCCCTTCCAGTTATTGTATTCTTGCTTGTGAGTCTCCCGGTCACAACACACGGTCTTAACTGGCCGGGGCTCAGTGGTGGTCTCATGACTGAGTCATCCTTCTGCCTTCGGACACAAGCGAGTAGAGTGACGTCAATACGAGAAACATCTCTGATGAGAGGTTACCCTGTAATGCTAACGTTTCCCAACGTCAAGAAACTGTCGTACTAAAGTCCCCACTCCTACCTGACCAGAGGACCCAAAACAGAAAACGGGACAGTATGACAGTGTCGCGAGCTACTACCATTTTCTAGTACGACAACTTTTGCTTAAGTAAAGTATATGTCAAAATGCGACGTTGTATTAGAAGGACGGGTTGAAGGCCTGAGTCGTCAACTATTTAACAACACGTGTACAACTGTGTACATGTTCCCTGTAACAAGCAGCTTGATCCAGACTCCGGGGTGTCTCAAGTTTGGTTATAATGGAGGAAACAGCACTGCGAGATGTCAGTCATGAAGAGTTAAAGTTATACAAGTATTCAAGTGAAGAGACAAGTTCCTGGTGAGCTACAGGTATCACCGTTGGTCCAACATCTCTCTGACAGTTCCTGGTGAACTACAGGTATCACCGTTGGTCCTACATCTCTCTGACAGTTCCTGGTGAACTACAGGTATCACCGTTGGTCCTACATCTCTCTGACAGTTCCTGGTGAGTTCCTGGTGAACTACAGGTATCATACATCTCTCTGACAGTTCCTGGTGAACTACAGGTATCACCGTTGGTCCTACATCTCTCTGACTCCTGGTGAACTACAGGTTCACCGTTGGTGACAGTTCCTGGTGAACTACAGGTATCACCGTTGGTCCTACATCTCTCTGACAGTTCCTGGTGAACTACAGGTATCAACATCTCTCTGACAGTTCCTGGTGAACTACAGGTATCACCGTTGGTCCAACATCTCTCTGACAGTTCCTGGTGAGCTACAGGTATCACCGTTGGTCCAACATCTCTCTGACAGTTCCTGGTGAACTACAGGTATCACCGTTGGTCCAACATCTCTCTGACAGTTCCTGGTGAGCTACAGGTATCACCGTTGGTCCAACATCTCTCTGACAGTTCCTGGTGAGCTACAGGTATCACCGTTGGTCTTATATCCCTTTGATTGATCTGATTACCCAATTATTGTTACTTTGTGTAAAGTTCTACTCATATCGTTATGTAAATAATTACGTGAGGCTATTGATAAGTATTACTGCTGACACCACTAGCCAATTTCAAAACCCATCTCACTGTACAGTTATCCTCACTGTCAAACCTAATGTTAAAATACATTTGGCACTGCTCACACAGCTTTGCTGAGTCTCTCATACAGGTTGTCTTTATGTGGCGTGGCAGAGCTAAACGTCCGCAGTCAGACACCACAGAACATTACATCTGATGCTTGGCTCCCTTTGTGACTGATCCAACTACACTATAAAGTGTTAGGTCGTGAGTCCTATTGTTGTGCAACTTGTTATTGTATTATTCCTTTTCTCTAGATAACTACCGTGTGATTAAGATCAACGATGTCCATTAGTTATACGATTGTTGCAATATTACTTTCAGAAGAGATTACTGAAAAGAGAGTATTTGACAGTCTCGGAGGTAAGTTAGAGGTTGACACACTCCTCCTCTGTGGTGAGACAGTGTTGGTCAGGGAGGCAGGTAAGTGGTGGAGAGACTTCCCCACTGTGGTGAGACAGTGTTGGTCAGGGAGGCAGGTAAGTGGTGGAGAGACTTCCCCACTGTGGTGAGACAGTGTAGGTCAGGGAGGCAGGTCCCTGACCTACAGTGTCGTCTTCTACCTTAGAGGTGTTCATCTACCTTTGAAGTGCTCACCTACCTTAGAGGTGTTCACCTACCTTAGAGGTGCTCACCTACCTTAGAGGTGTTCATCTTCCTTAAATGTGTCATTGAACCTGAAAGGTGTTCATTTACCTTGAAGGTGCTCTTCGTCCATAAAGATGTTCATCTACTTTAAAGATGTTCATCTACTTTAAAGATGTTCATCTACTCTAAAGATGTTCGTCTACTCTAAAGATGTTCATCTACTTTAAGAGTGTGCATCTACTCTAAAAATTATCATCTACTTTAAAGGTGTTTATCTACCATGGAGATGTTCATGCACCTTCATCGTAAACGTGTGTGTGACTCACCAGTGCAGGCAACACCACAGGGCTTGGGGGCTGGGAGGCTCCAGGAGGAGGCAGTGCTGTAGCTGCCCAGGTAATACAATATGATGAAGGAGGAGACGACCACTATCGCCATCTGCAACACACACCGACGCACGTCCATACCTGCGGGTGAAACACACGCTGAATGTAATCACTGGCACATACCCGGACACATCTTCCAATGAAGCTCTAGGGGCTAGTTTTATCCAATTTTGCATTGCGATTGCTGTGGGGTACATGGCCAACATGGCCAGGAAGGGGTCAACATCAATCAATTAAATAAAGCATGGCACAATGTCATGGGACACCCGTTGAACCTCTTGGTGATTCTGGGACTGGTTGCACCTTTAAAACTTTGTAAATAGCTTAATTCAATCACAACCATTTTTTTCTTGCAGTATAGAGAAAAACGTACACAGATGTCAGGAAAACAAAGCAAAAATCTGATTTTCATAATTTGGCTGAAGTAGTCCAATATGTGACCATGACGTCATCAACACTAGGGTCTCCTTACCGCCATACTCCTCCTCTCACACCCAACAACCTCAGAATTACCCACATTATGATAGTCGTTAAGAAGGTCAATAAAGGCAGAATCGTGGAAATCTGCAATAAGTTTAATCGTATTGGTAATAAGTTTATCGTATTGGTAATAAGGTACTTAATTACATATTATTTTTGCACTCCTCTACTGCCCCGGATTTGGCTGCCATCTTGAAAAAATGGCGAGAATGTTTGCACAATGTTGTTCATGGCCCACATGTTTTGACCCCAACATAACCAGCTTCAGCATGTTATGACCCCAACATAACCAGCTCCTGTATGTTTTGACCCCAACATAACCAGCTCCAGTATGTTATGACCCCAACATAACCAGCTCCAGTATGTTTTGACTCCAACATAACCAGCTTCAGCATGTTATGACCCCAACATAACCAGCTCCAGTATGTTTTGACCCCAACATAACCAGCTTCAGCATGTTATGACCCCAACATAACCAGCTCCAGTATGTTTTGACCCCAACATAACCAGCTTCAGCATGTTATGACCCCAACATAATCAGCTCCAGTATGTTTTGGCCCCAACATAACCAGCTTCAGCATGTTTTGACCCCAACATAACCAGCTACTACAAGTTTTGACCCCAACATAACCAGCTTCAGCATGTTTTGAGCCCAACATAACCAGCTCCTACAAGTTTTGACCCCAACATAACCAGCTTCAGCATGTTATGACCCCAACATAATCAGCTCCAGTATGTTTTGGCCCCAACATAACCAGCTTCAGCATGTTTTGAGCCCAACATAACCAGCTCCTACAAGTTTTGACCCCAACATAACCAGCTTCAGCATGTTTTGACCCCAACATAACCAGCTCCTACAAGTTTTGACCCCAACATAACCAGCTTCAGCATGTTTTGAGCCCAACATAACCAGCTCCTACAAGTTTTGACCCCAACATAACCAGCTTCAGCATGTTTTGACCCCAACATAACCAGCTCCTACAAGTTTTGACCCCAACATAACCAGCTCCTGCTGGATAGGGGGGGGGGGCATACCTGTAAGCACTAAGTAACCTGTAATACAATTTTCTGTAACATTATACATTATACTGCTTCAGTTGTCTATATTAATGTCTGTGTGTGATTTATATTATAGGGTACACATGTACATTTTATTTATTTATTGTTAGCAGTTCATGTGCTGCTTGAATGAGTTTCGGCTGGCCAGCTCCCTTGTGTGTGGATTCAACTCGTTGTATTCACCTAGTTGTGTTTGTGGGGGTTGAGCTTTGCTCTTTCGGCCCGCCTCTCAACTGTTAATCAATTGTTTACTAACCACTTTTTTCACACACACACACACACACACACACACACACACACACACACACACACACACACACACACACACACACACACACACACACACACACACACACACACACACACACACACACACACACACACACACACACACACACACACACACACACACACACACACACACACACACACACACATGATGGACTATGTCACCCAAAAATGTCAGGAGGCTGTAAGCAGGTTTGTCCCAGCCCGACAGGAAAAAACAGAAGCAAAGGAAGAATCCGTGATTTAATAAGGAATGTATGAAAGCAAAGGAGCTGACCAAAAGGGCATGGAGGAACTTCCGTAATAACAGAACACCAGAAAATAGAGAGAGATACCAGAGAACCAGGAACGAGTATGTCAGTGTAAGAAGAGCAGCTGAGAAAAGGTATGAAAATGATATAGCTAATAAAGCCAAGACCGAACCAAAGCTACTACACAGTCACATCAGGAGGAAGACAACAGTGAAGGAACAGGTGATGAAACTTAGGGTGGGCGAGGACAGGTACACAGAGAATGACAAAGAGGTGTGTGAAGAACTCAACAAAAGGTTCCAGGAGGTCTTTACAATAGAACAGGGAGATGTCGTGGCGCTAGAAGAGGTGGCAGCAAACCAGGTGACCTTGGATAGGTTCGAAATTACAAGAGATGAGGTCAAGAAGCACCTATTGGAGCTGAATGTGAGAAAAGCTGTTGGGCCGGATGGAATCTCGCTATGGGTATTGAAAGAGTGTGCAGGAGCACTTTGCCTACCACTATCCATAGTGTATAGTAGGTCACTGGAAACGGGGGACCTACCAGAAATATGGAAGACTGCTAATGTAGTACCAATATACAAAAAGGGTGACAGACAAGAGGCACTGAACTACAGGCCAGTGTCCTTAACTTGTATACCATGCAAGGTGATGGAGAAGATTGTGAGAAAAAACCTAGTAACACATCTGGAGAGAAGAGACTTCGTGACTACCCATCAACATGGGTTCAGGGAGGGTAAATCTTGCCTTACAGGCTTGATAGAATTCTACGATCAGGTGACAAAGATTAAACAAGAAAGAGAAGGGTGGGCGGACTGCATTTTTTTGGACTGTCGGAAAGCCTTTGACACAGTACCCCATAAAAGGTTGATGCATAAGCTGAAGAAACAGGCAGGAGTAACTGGTAGGGCGCTCCATTTGATAAGGGAGTACTTAAACAATAGGAAGCAGAGAGTTACAGTGAGGGGTGAGACCTCAGACTGGCGTGAAGTCACCAGTGGAGTTCAGTGACTTGCGGGACCAAAGAGCCAGAGCTCAACCCCCGCAAGCACAACTAGGTGAGTACACACACACACACACACACACACACACACACACACACACACACACACACACACACACACACACACACACACACACACACACACACACACACACACAATGTTTATGTCAATGTTTGCAGATGACGCAAAATTAATGAGAAGAGTTGTGACAGACGAGGATTGTAGGATCCTCCAAGAGGACTTAAACAGGCTGCAGAGATGGTCAGGGAAATGGCTACTGGAGTTTAACACCAGTAAATGTAAAGTTATGGAAATGGGATCAGGTGACAGGAGACCAAAGGGACAGTACACAATGAAGGGGAACAGCCTACCTGTAACGATTCGAGAAAGAGACCTGGGAGTGGATGTGACACCTAATCTAACTCCTGAGGCACATATAAATAGGATAACGACAGCAGCGTACTCTACACTGGCGAAAATTAGAACTTCATTCAGAAACCTAAATGAGGAAGCTTTTAGGGCGCTTTACACTGCCTACGTGAGACCCGTCTTAGAGTATGCCGCGCCATCATGGAGCCCCCACCTGAAGAAACACATAAAGAAACTGGAGAAGGTTCAGAGGTTTGCGACGAGGCTTGTCCCAGAGCTACGAGGGATGGGATATGAAGAGCGGCTGAAGGAACTGAACCTTACGACACTAGAGAAAAGAAGGGAGAGAGGAGATATGATAGGGACATATAAAATACTCAGGGGAATTGACAAAGTGGAAATAGATGAAATGTTCACACGTAATAATAACAGAACGAGGGGACATGGGTGGAAACTGGAAACTCAGATGAGTCACAGAGATGTTAGGAAGTTTTCTTTTAGCGTGAGAGTAGTAGAAAAATGGAATGCACTTGGGGAACAGGTTGTGGAAGCAAATACTATTCATACTTTTAAAACTAGGTATGATAGGGAAATGGGACAGGAGTCATTGCTGTAAACAACCGATAGCTAGAAAGGCGGGATCCAAGAGTCAATGCTCGATCCTGCAAGCACATATAGGTGAGTACATATAGGTGAGTACACACACACACACAACACACACACACACACACACACACACACACACACACACACACACACACACACACACACACACACACACACACACACACACACACACACACACACACACACACACACACACACACACACACACACACACACACACACACACACACACACACACACACACACACACACACAGAAGTGGCGGCAGAAGCAAGGAAGAGGCGCAGGGGAGAGGGGAAAACCAGGAAGTCACAGCTCCCAACACAACACCCCCAGAGGCGAGGGGGGAACCCACAACCAGCTACCCAGTAACACCAGAAGGGAGGACAACCCCGCCTCCCTCCTCTGCATAGAAAACCCCCCTACCCCAAACCCTCCCTGCCCCCACTCAAATGTTCAGCCAAATCTCCCTCCTCCCACACCCAATCCCCACCCTTCTACCCCTCCCCTCCTCCCGAGTCCTCCCTCCCCCCCTTTCCTTCCCGTCCTCCCTCCCCTTTCACCCCATACCCTCCCTGTCCCTCCCCCTGCACTGGATCCCCCGCCCCTCATCCCAGTATCCTCTGAGACCCTGTTATCCACCTCACAGGTCCTCACACCCATGGAACAGCCTCCCCCACCAGCAGAACACTCACCAAGGAGGCGATTTGAGAAGGGACAGAAGAAAGTGAGCCTCAAAGCGATGTACACTAACATAGATGGAATTACAAATAAAGCAAGCTTGCTTGCTTTATTTGTAATTGGAGAACTGGAGAACTCCAAAGCTTGGAGAACTGGTACTAGAGGAAATCCCAGACATAATAGCCCTCACAGAAACAAAGATCACGAAAACGATAACAAATGCAGTGTTCCCACAGGACTATTATGTTATGAGGAAAGAGAGGGAAGGAAGAGGTGGGGGTGGGGTAGCTCTGCTGGTAAGAAAAGGCTGGGATTTTGAGGA